AAAACACAAAGATAAACACAAGTGATATCTAAGAATGACTGTTGTTAGCAGATTTTGTTCTGACTTTAATCATTCTGTCTGCAGATGAACAGCATGTCATGAAAACCTAGGTCATTAAACTGGCTTAAACCTAAAATTATTATTTCTAACACAGTATATATACATGCATTTGTGTGGAAATCAATTAATTGAGCAAGGCTACTAAATAGGCTTAGAGAAGTTTCAGTGGTTTTATTAAATATTTGTACTTTTTACAAACTCAGTAAATGTTGACCAGGTCTCTGTTAATTTTTCATTTCATACCATCCTGCTGTGTCTAATTTTTTCTAACCATAGCATGGATAGCATCCCTTTCAGCCATCAAAAGCCGGTGGGGGGGGGGGGGGGGTGTTAGTCTTCCTCTGGAGAAGAATGAGTCAGCGAGCCATTAGTTGAAATGGTTTTTCTTTGTATATTTCTATAATTTCTCCTGAAAACAGAGACTTTATAWGGCCACACTGAGATTAAAGCACCAACATGAGCACAAACACCTGCATGAGTTAAAGGTTGGTCTCCTRCACTTCTTTGTTTTGCTGCAGCAACATGTGATGAAGATTAGGTGACAGCAGAACACTGGAACCTCAGTTTGTTTACAGAAAAGATGCAATGATCCATCAGCTTCTTGTTCTATCAAAGCCCAGGAGGATCTCTGAGTGCAGGAGGGAGTAACACCAAAACAATCAAAGCTTCTAATATTTGTGTCTTTGCTGAGATCATTTACATTTTCTGACAATCCTCGGCCGTGCTGGAGGAATGTGTCCTGTGTGTTAGTTCTGGAGAGCCCCCGGGGGACGAACACCTTACTAAGCTTAATCACAGCAACAGTGTTTTATCCAGCACCGCTCGGATTAAACTTCCTGGGGTGTCGCAGCCTCTGACACAGCTTGTCTTGTCAGTTGTCATCTTGTCCCAGAGGCTGTTAGCACACGGCAGCTGCACTCTGCTGAGTTCAGCTTCCATCAGCTCACGTAGCGTTGAGGGGATTAGTTTAGTTTGGAAAATGTAAAGGTCTGATCACAATTTAGAATAAAGTCTCTGTGTTTCCAAAGGTACCGTAAAGTGGTGCTGAACAACTGCACCAAAGGAGTGAAAGAAATGTACACAGCGAGGAAGCAGCAGTGCCCCAACAGGCCCCCGAARGGTCTCGCACTGACCACCAAAGATGGGAAACTCACCGCAAACATGGGCAACAACGTCACCTTCCTGGTGCATCTGGATGAGGTGAGGACACAAATAGCACGGACCACCCTCTGCAGCAGTGGGAGCCCCCTGATGACCAATATTCTTCTGTTCCTGTCTCTTTCTGCAGCTTTGAAACTCCCATTATTATGACTGTACTGTTATTTGACATGGATCAAATTTACAAAAATGTTTTTTTGCCACTTCAGTAGAAAACAGAACTTAATATTGGTTTCTTCATCATCAGTGACTTTTTTAAAGAAGTAAATCTAGAGAATAAGAAAAAGAAAGAAAAAAGGAGAAATGTTAATGTTGTGTTTT